TGTATTTTAAATTTTCTGTTTTAATTGTTTAAATCGACAGTGACGTGTACAAATTGCAACAAATACTTTCTATTTAATTCTAATTCCCTTCCCTCCTTTTCTCTTAATGCAAATTGCTCCCCGGTTTCGCTCGCTGTCCAATCTGCTCCATTGTGAGAGGAAGTTATTTATATTGTCAGTGTCAGCTGATCATTGATTTCTTAATTACACGTTTTCCCTTGAGGCTGTGACAACTGATATACTGTACAAGGCCAATGGTGAAGGGGGAGTCTTCCAGTCTCTTATCCATGACTTATGGCTAAGTTGACTCCCTCAGATAGCTCTCTATTCTCCGCCAACGGCTTTTCAACACAACAAACACTCAAACACAAGTATCATCTTTCTCCCGAGAGAACAGTGCACACAGACACGCTCAGAATGTGGTGGCAGTCTGTGGAAATGCTTTCATTGCTGACAACCAAGAGTAATAAAACACCCTGTGCTGCATGTTGCAACAAACCATTTTCTTTCCTTTTTTCATGCTTTGAGGCAGTTATGGTCACTGGAAACATGATGGTGTGTTTGTGTTGCAAGAACAACACAAACACAAGCTTTAAGAGATTGAAAGTATTGATAAGTAAAAGTGAAAATGGCAAAAAGCAATGCTGGACCATTTCAGGAGCCTTAGTGTACAGAGAAACCGTACTTCATAGGTCCAATTCAGTCCACATAATTATTTAAAATGTGGCAGGTAATTAATTTTTGCTACAGATTTTCATTTTAAATCAGGAATTGAATTTAATTTGGGACTATTTGCCATTTTTGACGCATTCCCTACTTTGAAATTTGATTAGTTTTTATCTTGATCGTGTAAAAACATAATTTATCAAAGGACTTAATTTAATCTTCACTTCTTACTCATCAACATTTCTATTCAAATAGCTCTTGATTTGACAAAAAAAAAAAAAAAAGAAAAACATTTTGTCTTTCTTTCATGTTAATGAAAACAGACTGACAGCCAGGTGAAAAAAATAGGAGACCCGTGTCTTTTCTCATAAATTTGGGCATATGACTATTTAACATCGAATTAAACAATACAAGCACATTCAAGTAAAAATAAACAAATAATAAAAACTGAAGAAAATACCTGCAAATTTTATTTTTAAATGTAGCAAAAACATTAAAAAAATAAAAATTTCTGGTAAATAAAAAACAGTACATCTCCAAATCTATTTCCATACGCAAAGGCTAATGGCAACTATTGTCACATCAGGTGCACATAATTACATTACTGACTGTTGAAGTGAGAGTGGACATTTGCGGCAGAGTTTGAATCTGATAAGATAATTAGAGAAGTATTGAAAGAATCTAAAATTGACAATCCCTTTGTGTGGGACGGTTTATAAGTGGAAGACATTCAAAAATACTGTTTCTTTGGCATGACTTTATATCAAGTTTAGATTATTGATGTCTAGGAGACAATACTGTGGGCAGATGTAGGATGAGACAGAAATTGATATGCAACGGGCAACTATTTTACCAGTATTTTTTCTTAAGAATTACAGAATAAACTCTGACTAACCACTAAAAGTGGCTTTTAGTGGTTAGTCTAGCTTACAGTAACCGTGAAATAAGGAGCCCATTCGCTGCCAGGTTTGAAAAGGTGTGTTTATGTCACACATCAACTCAGAAGCATTCCATTGTTAAGATTTATGAGGTTCATTACCTTTGTTTTGAATACAGTTAAAACAAAAATTGGGAGAAATAGTCTAATCTTGCCAACTTATCTCAGCGTTAGGTGTCTAAGTTGCAGCGTCTGTTTACCCACATCAGCAAGATCACAGAGTGCCTGCATAGGAACGTTGTACACCACAGATTTCACCTCTGATAGGAGGCAAGTATACTGAATTTGGCAGTGTTGCATCAGGGAATGCTATTCGCTTTCTTCTGAGTGCCATTTGGAAACTCCAAAAAAAAAAAAAAAGGTTCAGGGCATTTTTCCAGTTACATAGCACCAGCCCCAGTGAGGAGACAATGAGACCCAGACAGGCTTAGGACTCCAGAAGCCATTCCTCTCTCAATGGGAACATGTCTTGGACAGACACTCCAGTAGTTTTGTCTTGTATGTTGCTATCTGGTCTAGCTGCAGAGCGGAGGGGGTCCGTGCCAGGCGAGGGTCCGCAGGGACCGTTGGAATAGCTGGGGCTGGAGGAAGTTGGTCGAGGTCCAGTGGGGCGATCTGGGCTTGGTGACAAGCCAAGCTGTCTACTGCAGGGACGCTGGGAAAATGTAAATAAGAGTCTGATAAGGCCTATTGTTTTCATTCCATTCTCATCCCAGCTGAATGACCTGCTCCCTAGCCACAGTGTTTTATCTTGAGGGAGGGAGGGGAAAAGTGGAAGGGGTGGGGGTGTGAGAGATTTAATAGCCCCCATAGGAAAATAAAAATAAACTCACTGGACTCTTCTGTTGTTTGAGAGCTAATTCCTCGGATTGTGATGTCCTACTTTGAAATTTCTCTTAAAACTTCAGGAAGTTCAAGAAAACCTGCCAAAATAATGATATTTGCACAGGAGTCAGATGTGATTGCGTTCTCTGACATAAGCTGTTGTTCTCTGTCAAATCCAGTGTAGATCAATTTCTGATGTTCGCTGTCAGAATTTGACAGTAATAATTATGTTGTTATTGAACAGTATTTCCATTGGCATCACTGATTTCTCCTGAGAAAAGAGACATGCATTTTAACAACTGAAATAACTTTGCCTCTATTAATCTGAATTCTTGCAGAAAAATAGGCGGTGCAAGGACAATTTGAGAAAAGCCAGACTTCTAACTCACTTAAGTTTTTTTTTTTTTTTTTTTTGAGCTTGCGCAAAAGTTGTTCTATGTTCTCCAAACCCCTTTTTTGCTTTCCTGTTTTTGTCTGCACTTAGTCGGACGGTGAAAGGTGCTTTGAGAGTTATTTTGTGGACTAATCTGAGAGTCATTATTCACTTCGCTCAGGTGGAAGCTCAGGGAGGACAGCATTGCATTCCAGCTGTGGTCTCTCGCTTTGGAGGACTTGACAGGTCGAGTCTGGTCCGGCGAAGGGGATGTAGGGAGCGAGGGAGCAGCGGTTCTCCCGAGACGGAGGAGGAAGGGAGGGGGAGGACTGGAGTAGAATGGGAGCTGGCACCATATTATCTCCAACTGTTGGTGCATTGCTTAATGATCAAGTGCTGGAGAAGCATCTGCTATGAGAATGTGTGTGCATAGAAAGGGAGCGTGTGTGCGTGTGTGTGTGTGTGTACAACACATACCTAATATGTGTTGTATACAAACTGCATAATCTTCTTTGTGCAGCTTGAAAAATCAGATTTTTCTTTTATTTTAGGCGGGGAGAGTCCAGCTCTGTTATGGTTCTGTCTGTGTTCGACGGAGTTTGTTGTTCTGGGAGAGGAAGCTGTCTCACCCAGGGGTGACGGGCAGGGAAGAAGGGCTGATCTTTGCTACTCCCGCTGCCCTTAACCCCTGTTTTAAGATCTGTGATCTCTGTGCCACGCTGGGAGTTAACACACACAGAACACACAGGCCTTTCTCCCTCCCTCCCCCAGGGTCAAGGGGACAAACTGAGTTGGGAATTGGAAAGTCAATAAAGCAGAAGTAATGTTATAATGACCCTGACTTGAAGATGTCCCATTGACCCCTATCATACATGGAGGAAGTGGACAATCAAACAAAACTGGGACTCTGCTTGATCTCCCGAAAAGTCATCCTTAAACAAGGCCACGAGAACTGCTGACCCCCTGTTACTCCCAGTTCCTCTGAAGTCGGCATGTTTGTCAGACGGAGCAAGACTGTTTGCTTTGTGGAAGCGGGCAAGAAATGTAACAGGCAGATAAAAGGAAACAACAATTGTACACACATCCTCAACTGAATAAATCTTCCCTGTGTTTGATGTCAAGAATGATAATAGTACACCAGAAGAGTCCTGTAAAGTGCATGTGAAAGTCCCCTGATTTAGCTTTCTTACTGCTTTTGGTTGCAGATTTTGTGCAGAACAAAAATAAAATAAAAAAAAAATTAGGTAAAAATTCACTCACACCAGGTAACATTTGTTTTTTTCTGTTAAAAAAAAATCAAGACTGTAATATTTATATGGTACATATATATTTATATATATAGTATTTCAAAAAATGTTCCCATGTTTTATGCAATATATCTCATATCCATTACTTCATTACCTGACATCTGAAAGGGTTGTGGAGTCCTTTTATATCCACTGTAGACTCATAAGTCCTTCACAATTACAAAACTGAAAACACCTCAGTTACAAAGCAGTTTCACGGTAAAGCATCCTAAAAATAAAAAAACAAATAAATAAAAATGTTCGCCTGACGTGAATTGTTCATACTTGGAAAAGAATTTTTAATTTAATGCCATGCTGGACTTGCTTGGAGTCTGACTCTCAAGTTTGTTGAAGGAGTGGCTCCAAGTGGAGGGATGGAGCCTTGCTTGTACTGCTCGTATGTGATGGGAACAGGCTGAACCCGGTACAGTGCAGAGATGGTGGAGGCCTGGGTCAGGCAGCCCAGTATGTTCTTTATCAGCTACACCAGCGACAGCATGGCAGATTGCAGCCATTCCTCCTCTGATTCATTGTGTCCTGGACAAATGTTAATTGTTTTCATCATTGGCAGCTATGTGAACGTTTGGACGTACCCAGTCTCACTCCTTGCCTCCCACTTAATGTGTGTCTCTGCCCTTACGCTATCACCACAATGCCGTGTTCCCTCCTCACTCCACCCTTGGCTCGTCTTTTAACAGGCAGCCGCAGTCCTTTTAATGTTTCCCATCAAATAAAACACCATTATTTCATCTCATACCTTGACTTTACAGTTAGGAGAATAGATTTATAGCATCCACAGAGGTGTAAAGCAGAAGCTATATCCTGCATCCGTCCGTCTATTGTCGATACCCACTTACATGTTCAAATTACAAATGTTAAAATGTTTTTCAAATGCTCTCTTTTTTTGTTTCAGAATCTTCATGCATGGAGAAACTTCTTTCTAAAGACTGGAAAGAGAAGATGGAGAGGCTCAACACCAGTGAGTTACTGGCAGAAGTTAAAGGTAGGAATCACCAAAGCAAAACTGTCTATTCAACTTTATTGTGGTATTCAGTTTTATCAGAATACAACAACCAACATAAAAACACGTGGTTGTCATGTGACAAAATATAAAATGTTTTAAGCGATAAAAATACTGTCGCCTATTACAGAAATGAAACTAATGCTCTTGGTTGCCTTCGTCAATGAGGCCTTTTCTCCCTTACGTTTAGTTCAAGCGTCGAACTGTACCCTATTTTTAAGGCTTCCTTACTATTTCTGGCCCATTGCAAAAATCTGATCATCAGCACTTCAGTGTTAACCCAAACACTGCACACCTATCCCGAAAACAAAAAATATGAACCCTTCTTACTCTGCTCTGGTTTGTGTAGAGGGCTTGTGCAATTCATCTAACTGTTGAACACCAAAGTGTGTTTCATGTAAACAGAGCACAGCTAAGCTAAAAGGAAAAGAGACGACACTGAGATAGGAGAGGAGAATAGACGGTACGGAGACGCGAACAGCCTTCTCCTCACTGAACTTGTGTTACAGTGGAATGTCTTGACTATTAACCGTGAACGCCCTGTACGGCGTGCTGAGAGCACCGCAGCAGAGCAGCCAAGCACTCCCCCAAAATTTCTGTTTATGACATGGTGAGCTGAAGGTGGGCTGAGGATGGGCAGGGCTCCTGCTTACTCCTTAGCACTGACTGTTACTGAACGCAGGCATGTTTATGTTGAACGGGAAAGTTAAAAACCAGCTGGGTGATAGCACCAGCTGTCACTGGCTCCTGCCAGTGAGTTTCTCTCAATCAAAATGTTTGTTTTATTTTATTTTTCTAAACAATAAATTTAGGTCACATTACTATTATTATTATTATTATTATTATTATTATTATTATTATTATTATTGGTAGTAGTACGATCTCCATAGGACCAATTAATCAATTGCAAATATAAAATGATTGTATTTTCAGATTTTTTATATTATCAATATTTATCTATTGCTCTAGGAATAGCATGTTTTTTTTCTTATTTTTAACTGACCTTATTTACGGCAGATAAACTGATCATTTGATGAAATTTTAACTGTTTTGGAATCTTTAAGATAAATTGTGACAACTGTTCCATTAGCAATGTATAAACACTTGTTTTCCAAAATAAAATAATTCATCATGTTCAACATTTTTTATGGAGGTCCACAAATCTTTTCCTGGTGCCTTTGCAGATTTCTTATCATTTTTAATGAGGCCAACCAAGCAAGAATTATGTTTGAGGTGTTACTTTAAAACACATCTATAGATGGACCACAATTTACCTCAGATCAATTAACATGAACATGTCATAAAGAGCATTTTAGCTAATAGAAATAGTTATGGAAATTCCAACTAACCTAAAACTAGTCAAATGTAGTCTGATTTAATGCCAGTGAGAAAAAAGGTAATTTATTTTATTTTATTACATTTTTTGTTTTATGTAATTGTTTTGTTTCAAATGTACTTTAAAATATGAAATGAAAATAAATTAGTCTAATTTTTCAAATCTAAAAAGACTTCCTCAGGTAAATCCTGGTTGGTTTCCTTTAATAATACACACATGGGAACTGCAAACCAAAGGCTGTCGCTTAGCTTTATTAAATTACATTTTCTCCACTTGGTGAGAAATGCAAAATCAGCTGTTGAATGGTCAAATATTCCCTTGCAATAACCTTAATGAACTAAAGGGTAAATCATGGCTTGGTAAACTAGATTCATTGTATCTGTGCTCGTGCACTGTATGCCAGAACAGATCAAAGAGCATGGTGTAAAATGTTTAAAATGATTTAGCCTTTTGAAATTTGGTGTTAAATTACAGGCAGGGCATTTGTGCTGTTTGATGAATGGGAATGGAAAGGTTACTTGGTGGTCTGTAAACAGGTAGGGAGCCTGATAATAAACACTATGGCCTCTGTGTGTTGATGAGTTATGGAGACAGTCTATACACCACAGTTACAAATATAAATGCTTCTCCTATCACAGAGGCAGTCTTAGATTTTTAATTAGCATGCCATTTCATATGACTGTAGACATTTCAAAGGGCTGCTTTGTGTTCACCCTTACAAATGTCTCTCTCTCTGCGTTTGATGTCTGCCTGATGTAAATACGGGCAATTAAAAAGAAGCCCAGGGTTGGAGATGCACAAGGTCTGCCTAATTAAAACACAAACAAAGGTACCAAGCAGAAAACACCTTATGATTAAGATCTAGTGTTATGATGAATCACAGGTTCCATTAACTGTTAGGTTAGAATGAGTACAAAAGGCAAACATGCCTGTAGGTTTTAAAATAAACAGAAGATAGTGGAAAATAAAGAATGACATGCAAATAGAGAGCACAGTGTCCAGGAGCAAAGTGGCCTTGTATCTTTTATGTAGATCACTCTGTGATTCCTCAGCCTGTTATTCAGTGCAAATGTTAAGCTTCCTCCTGACAATGTTCTATCAAAACCTTGAAAGCCACATAATTGTGTTCTTGCAAAAGCATGTGATGGAATCTCGCTGGTGTGGAAACAGCTGTTTTGGTCCAGTTCCTGGAAGACAAAGCAAAAAAGAAAATCAATTAGGGTGATAGAATTTGACCCCAGGCTTTTCTCAAGAAACGGGAGATTCTTTCAGCACAGCTTTGTTCCGACTTGCCCCAAATGCTTTATTCTGCTGAAGTGAACACGCACGTACAGTATACAAACAATGCAGGACAATTGTATCAGCAGCATCAGAGATTTTGAGCTCTGCTAACCTAACTATTTACCTGTTAGAGATGACAGAAGTATAATTACAGCTTATTGTTGTGTGGGTGTATCGCTGCATAAAGTGCTGGTTTTTATGGTATTTAGAGTCAGTACAAATCAAGCAACATGATCCCATGCTTAAGGCAGATGTGTAGGATTGTGCTACTGAGGGTTAATGATTCCATCCTCCTTGCCTTGCAAGCTTCCGATGCCTGGTATCGGTGCGGCCGTGCAAAGGAACATTTGTGAGGGAGCATTAGTAGCGGATTTCTTTTCAACTGTTTGTTTTCATACCTGAGCTTAGCTGTCAATCTGCAGGAACGATGAAATCTTCAGAACAAAACCACAGAGGAAGAAAAGGGAGGCTGGCTGGAAGGCCTCCAAACCACACAAAATGATAATAGATGGCAAGCTAGATCGAGCGCTTGAAAAGAAGTAGGCCACAAAAAACAGTTCATATGTGCGTACTTAGAAGCAAAATTTATATTTATAGAAATACATTACCCCCCATTACATGGAGCACAGTAGGACATTTATAATAAATAAGGTACATGCTGTGTTAAATGTATACAAATCTAGTGTTCAGTAGTAAATAAGTGTCCGTCTGTTCCGAGCTTAAGATTCATACTCAACAGAGCTGTTTAAGTTTCCCTGCTGAGTGCCAGCTAACAGCCCTCACTTTAAAGAAAAAAAAAAACGTAAACATTCTGCTCAAGCATTTAGACGACCTAAGGAGAAATTAGTAGTTGCAACTGTATTACAGTGTGAAACTGTAATGCAGTTTCACTGTAATTTGTAAAAATAAAAAATAAAAAAAAGAGAAAAAAGAATGGAAGAAAAAAAAAAAGCTCAATGCCAGCTTGAATTCTGAAGCAGAAAAATCAAGGCTACTGCGCTGTCACAATCAATTTGAGGATGGTTTCTACATGACAGTGGTCGGCTGCGCGCAGACAGCCCTGCGGCGGGCAGATAAGTAGAAGCTCTTTAGGAGGAGAACAGAGGGCAGGGCAGGGTGGCTGCCGAGACGGATTTGATGCTGGCCCTACCTGCGCTGGCCACACTGCTGCTCAGCCAGAAAGGAGCCCACTGTGTGAACACAGAGCCTGCATTGTTGAGAAGTCTCACCTCAAAATATGTATATACGCTTTAATTCTTCATGGATGCAGATGCACCTCAAATGTTAACTCCGTACACCTTAGAAACATTTTTAATAAAGAATTATGGATTCCAACTGGAGTGTGCATTTTATCTACATACTCTATTTCATTTATATATACTCAAATATGTAAAAAAAAAAAAAAAAATTCACACAAATAGCACAAAACTGTATCTGTCTGGTTGCTCCGGTCAAAAAAAAAAAAATAAAAAAATGCTTCAGTTCGCATTTTCTCCACAACACTTCAGTCAACTGTTTGGCCTGTGCACTCAGGTGAAATATGAGCCACAGTAAATCATTATTCCTCAGGCCACATTTGCCAGATGAATGCATGGGAGTGTTAGACTGTGTGTTTTTCTCCTCTAATGAATTGAGGAATTTAGCTTGTGGCAATGGAGGTAAAAAATCGTAGTACCATGCCCCTGTATGTTTGTATACATGTGTAACAGGGACAGAATTCAGTGGTTTGAGGCAGTTTGTTCACTTTGTGAGCCCTTTGGATCCTAACGTACCAGAGGATTTTACCAGCAATTTATGCATGGATGGATGAATGGCTGGATGGATGGAGGGATGGATGAATAAATAAGGTGATATATTTATGTAATTATGTATATTCTTATGCTTTTTGCTGAAAAATAGAAAAATACTTTTTCTTTTTGTCTCCATGGTGTAATATGGCAGATTTTCTCAGCACTTCAGACTGGTCTAAATAATATACTCAGGCCTCTTTATTGCACACAACCGTCAGTTCTTACAGAAAGGTTGTCTTTGTGCAAGAAAAATAAATAAATTCTGACCTCCATTTACTAAAAGGTATTTATTCAGTTCACTTGTACTATTCATTTTCATAAATTACATTGCAAATGAAAATGCTTTTAAATCATTTTTTTTTTTTTTACTTTTAATTTCTCTATTTGTAAGGGTTAAAGGTTGGGGTTTCAAATAATATTTTATTGTTTGAAAAAAGGAAACATTTTTGCTTTTTTGTCATAGTTAATAATTCTTGCCACATTGCGTTTGTGCAAGATGTTTAAATCCTTGTGCTTGTTTCACCAGCCTACAGGTTAGCAGCTTTGTTACTTCTTCAACATCTGATTAACACATC